ATATACTTTTAATTGTAGCCTCTTTTGTAATTGCAAATTGCCTTAAATCTTCTTTGTTAAGTTTTTTAAAATAAAATACTTTCTGACTTAGTTATAACATAGTAACAAGTGAGGTTACAAAAAGTGTTCACTGTCTAAGGTTGCTCTAGTTACCTACTATCTTAAAAGAAGTAAATATAGGATAACAGTACCAAAAACCTTTCTTCTTTTTCAGTAATGTTTATTTTCATAACTTCTAATATTGCAATTTTCTTTTCTTTTGTCTAGTTGAACAGATTTTCAAGCTTCTACCCATTGTTTTTTAGTTCATTAACATTATAACATGCTATTTTTAATCTCTTTCTTTCCTTATTTCTATTTCTCCTTTAATTGGTCATATTTTGTTTTTATGTTTTCTGTTTTTTCTTTTTCTTTTCTAGTTTCCTTTTTTTTTTAATAAGAAGTTGTTATGCTTTTCTTATATATATCTCTTTCTCTTTATAGGAAACCTTCAAGCTCCTTATCTGTTTTTATTAGTTCAACTGTGATGCCCTTAGAAGTGATCAGCTGGGCTATCTTTTGTCTCTAGCTGTATTTTTCCTATTGATTTGTCTTGCTGAACTTCAAGTCTGTCTAGTCTTTCTAGGATTCTTTGAAGCAAATCTTGCATTTGTGAATTAAAATCATTTTCTTCTGTTTGTTTTATTCGACTGTTACCTTTGCTTTTATTGTTTTTCTTCTTGGTTGTTTCTTTTTTGTTAACCTTCTGCTTTTTTTTATTTATATTAATAAATGTTTCTTTTGTATTTGGATGTCTTTGACTGCTATTATCTTTTTTTTTTCTATTCTACTTTTCTTGAAAGTTTTTCTAATATAAAAGATGGTTATTAAATCTTATTAGTTTGAATTGTGCTGTTTTCATTTCTTCTTCTGATACAAAGGTGATTTTTGCTGCTCTTCTTTGGTTTCTATTTTTGTTAGATAATATGTAAACTGATTTTGCTCTCTTGTTTTTTAAGCAGTATAGTAGCAATACTTCTGAAGCATTGTCTGGGAGTTCTGTTAGTCTTGTTGTGAACAAGTTTTGAAGATCACATTGTATATAATCTTCATCACTTTTGGTTATTTTTGCCAACTTGTGAACACCAATTGGCAAAGTTCATGAAATGTTCTTATCAGTAAGTTGTTCTGCTTGAACTACTACTAATGCCTTGTGTTTTGATCTTTTAATATGTCTTATTTGTATCTTTTTGAAGCTTTTGTACATGTGTCTGATTTCCTCTGTATTGATATTCACAGATAGGTTCTATATTGTAAAATAGTTATGTAAATTTATTTCATTTTTTATTATAAACAAGTCCTCTTCTTTTTTATATTCTTCTCTTCTTGATTGGTTTTTGTATTTTTCTTTCTCTTTTTTATTGTTGTTTTTGACTTGTTGTTCAAGTTTCAATTTTTTGTTTCTCTTTTTTTCTGAGATAAGCTTGAGTCATTTATCTTTTTTTTCTCAGATTCTGTTCATTACTGCATTTTGATTATGTTCACAATCAAAGTCTACTTCTACTCAGTTGTTTTTATTCTTAAAAACTTCTTTAATTGTCTTAATATGATGGTTTTTGTCTAGTATCTATTGTATATATTTTATTCTTTCATCACTTGTTTCTCCAAACATAATGTATACAGATATGTTTGTTTTGAAGAACATGTCCTTATTATATACTCTATTTTCTGGTAACCATTGACTGTATTCAATTGTGTTGATAAAGATTGAATCTTCATATGTCATGTTTTCTTTTTTTAATTCTATTATTTTTTTGTTGATTTTTTTTATATTTTTTCTAATATCTTGGATAATGCTATCTCTTGAAACTTCTGTGTTCTTCTTTATCTTTTTTTTCTTGTTTCTTCTGCTTTATTTAATTTGTTCATAAGAATTTGATTTGTACTTAATAAAGAACTTTTTTGTTGTATATCTTGTAGTATATTAATGTTAAGTTCCTCCATCTGGTTAATGATTTCATTTATTATTTTGATTGGTTTTTCTTGTAGAATTTCTTCTCTTACTACATCTTAACATCTTTTTTTTGTTATTAATATTTGCATCTTTTCTATACTATTAAGTTTCTTTATTCCTTTTATTTTTCTTTCTTTTTTAAGTATTTCTTCTTTATTCATGTTTGTAATATATTCAACTAACTTTAGATTTTGATTCAATAGCCTAAGTCTTTGTGCCCATTCATCTATTATGTCTTCTTCAAGCCAGCTTAATTCTGCTAAACTCAAGGCTTTAAGAATTTGTTTATAAAGTAGTATATCACTTAGTGTAATATAGTTTGGGTTGTTTATTGCTAGATCTTTTGTTATATACTCTATATTGCTTGGTTCTTTTGCAGACATTGTTAGAATTTGTTTCAACAATTCAGAATTTAAATATCTTCAATTTTTATCATTTGACCCCTTAATGTAGTATATAATATTTGTATCAAAAACCTGATCCATTTGATTTATTCATTAGGTTTCTATCTTGTATGATTTCCTCTTTGAGTTATCTATATATAATCTGTGTTATGCTACTATTTACTAATAGTTTATCTATCTATTTTTTAATTAGAAACATAACTTTATTGTATGTTGTTTGTTGTTGTTATTTAATCAATCATGTGTTTTCTTTCTGTTTTTCAGAATCAATTATGATTTCTTAAACTTTTGAGTTTATACTAAAAAAAAGAAAAAATTTTTTAAAAACAAGTTTAGTTTGTTAGAAATATCTTTTCTGTTGTTATACTTTTACTGTTATTTATATATTTTTGAACATAAACTCTTTTTTTTTCTTAAGGGCCTAAAGACTGTTTTCTAATCTGTTTTGGTCATATTTTATGTTTTGTTTCTGCTCTGCTTTGGAATTAGAGATCAGCAAGAAGAGTTTTTTTGATTTGAATAAGATATAATATATAAATTATTCTTTTATATAACAAAAATAATAAATTTTTAAAAAATTAATTATATCTTAAAATTTTGACTAGAAAATTATTTTTTGTAGATTAATAAAAAAAATTTCTTGTGAAATTTTAGTATAAACTATGTTTTGACTAACTTTAATCTTAATTTTAATTTAGCACTAATTAAAAGTTTTATTTTTTATAAAAAAAGATTGTTTTAATTTATATTTTATACTAATTATATAAAAGTGAATCAGTAGAAATTAAACAAATTGGTTTTATTAAATTTTTTTAAAAACTTTACATGCCGATATCTAAACAAAAACTTAATCAAATTTATAAAAAAATTTTTAAATAAATTTTATAAGTTTATAGAATTCATTTAAAAAAATTTTTATTAAATTTAATTAAGTTGTTGTTAAGTTATTATTATTTAAAGTTTTAAAAAAATTTACTTAAAAAAAATTTGCTTGATTTTTACTGACTTAACCCATATATTTACATATAGAGTAACACTATGAGACTATAGTACTATAATAATATTTTCTTCAATTAATATTTTGGTTAAGGCTTCTTGTAAAACTCTTTTAATAATTACTTTTTAACTATTTATACTTTTTAGTAAAAATTTTTTTTTATAATTGTTAAAAAAATTGTTAAAAAAGATCTTTATAACTTATTTATTAAGGTCTTTAATTTAAAATTTTGCTTTAATCTTTGTTTACTAATATTTTGTTTTTTAATTTTTAAAACCATCTTATTTGTTTATCTCTACAAGATTTCTTTTTTAAAAACTTAAATTATTGCTATATATTTATTTGGTTTTCTTATTTATTAATTAATAAAAATAAACTAGATTAAAATTTCTAAACATTTGTACTACTGCAAAAATAAACTTAGCAAGTTAGGCCTTAAGTCTTTTCTATTATATAAGTATCTCTATAGTTAAATTTTAGTATTAACTATAAGTCTTTTGCTTTAAGTATTGTCAAATAAACAAAATTGTATTCCTATAGTTTGTTGTAATTATATTTATTACAACTATATTATATTTGGTTTTTTTTTTGTAAATACAGTCAAGTCAGCATTATATGAATTTTCAGATTTTATTATGAAAATTTTTATAATATTAAACAATATGTATTTAAACTCCGTTACGTAACTGATTTGGGTGGCTATGTCAAGGAAGTGGCAATGTCGGGGATGTAGTTTATGTCTGGATAATGGTTGTCGAAAAAATTTTGTCGGGAATTATTGTCGGGAAGTGTCGTCAAGGAAATAGGTCGGGGAAACCGTGCCCAAAAGTGTGATTATAAAGAGATATGACCGTACTACATATTTATAATTGAATGCACCCTTTCGTTTCATTGGATTTTTTGCACATATACGAATACGTATACTGATTGAAATTTAGTGCGTAAAGCACACATGATATTTAACAGTACAAACCAAATCGTGTACGCATATTGTGTATTTTATATGCTTGCACACCATATTATTCTAATAATTAAATTAAAAGAAAAATAAAAACATGTTATTTGATAATATATTCATATGTAACTATTCTACCTTTTCTAGATGATTGATAACCATATATCTGGAAAAGAAAATATACAAATATCTAAACCAAACTAATTGAGATTTGTGACATTTCATAGATTTTCTTGATCGGATAAATTGTTGTAATGTAGATACAAAGAGAAGAGAATTAGGAAGATTCAATAAATTTTCTTCCTTTTCAATTATCTCTTCGTTTTTTTTATTAATTTTATCATGAAAATTTGGTTCATAAGAAGTATTTTCTGAAAATAAGGATGTAATATTAATAAGATTATGAATAAAATACGTTTGCAAAAGATCAAAAATAGAAATATATTTTCTTATTATGTTGACAGTTTTAAGCTTGTATAATCGCAATGATTTAGATTTTGAACCGGATTTTGAAGATGCAGACTTAGACGTGCTTTTTGATAATAAGTAATGTCTTATGTTGACGGATTAGGAAATAGGTAAAATATTAAAATGGGATCATATTAGAATTACGTGAACATAATAATAATAGGAGAGGGTGAAACCCGCGCTGTAAATTAGTAAAACCCGCTACGTAGATCACGTTAGGGTGAAATCCGCGTTTAGTTATGTGTTTTCTTATGCAACAGCGGGTTTCACCCTCATGTGATCTGCATAGCGGATTTTACTAATTCACAACGCGGGTTTCACCCTGTCGTATAATAATTAATTACCTTGCACCATTATATGCAGCTGAATGGTTTGGATGCCCTGAAATTCCTTTGTCATCGAATGTAATAACCTACAATTTATTATTATATTAGATGAGTGAGTGAGCGAATTCAAGTCATTTTATTACGTTATGAAGTATAACAATAATTTATGGTATAAAAACATACAACATCAATTCCATGCTTTTCAACGTATTCTTCAATGATAGATGAGATTAAAACTGGATTCCAACCATTTTTTGGGCCATCTTGTAATTCACTAAATCACAATTCATTGAAACAAATTAAAAATGTACATAAGCATCAGTGTTGGGCTGACCAGACCAATGACCCCGGTCAAGCATCTTAGACATTGATCAAGTTGGTCAAATGGTCTAGTTATATGAAAATCAGACTAATTTGACTATAATCAAATTTGCTTGATTGGTCTGATTTGTTAATTTGGTTCATATTACTAGACCATTTGATCAATTCGACCAAACCAGTTTGACCAAAAACCCTTTAACCAATGACCACAAATTTATAGTCGACCGCTAATTTGACCAACACTAATAAGCGTATATAGATAGAAGATATGTCATCTAAAATTCGAAAAAAAACTCACGGATGATCCAAACTCCTGACAAATTTGACATCAATTCCTAAAGAAGTACAACTAGCTTCGAGTTCTTTTTTTCGAATTTTTCCAAGTCCAGATTCGTTTCCTATTTATAATAGTAAAGTTTTGAAAAAAAAAACTGTAATGACATTCCTGGCAATTACATATTACGTCAGATAAACTAACCAATAGATAAACACAAGACGTGCATTCTATTTTCATATTCTTCTTTGCCCAATTCTAATAAAGTAGGGCCGAAAAACATGCATTCATCATCTGGATGTGAAATAATTAATAGCATATTTAATCTGGTAATCGTATTTATAGCATGTTTTTTGGATGACATTATAAAGTAGTAAATGGATATTGTATTCAAAAACAGGAGAAAAAAGCAGGTTGACAGTATGGCTGCGAACGACATTTTTGCTGATTCGATAAACACATTTGATAGTGTTGTTTTTTATAATTATTATTATCCCGTGATCTTGAGAATATACCTGATCTTACCCAGGTGCGCCAACAAAATTTCACGCTCACGTGACGATCGAAAAATTATTTAAAATTCATTTAGGTTAGG